TAAAATTAATAAAATCGTCAACATTTTTTAACAGCATGATAATATAACTCTTTACGAAGAAAATAAACCGAAAATCGTTACTGTAGGGCTATCCGCTGAGAAGATCTAGCCAATTTTCGAGAGCGCCTTTTTTTCAAAAGATCGATATATCTCGAAAATTAATTAATATTTTAAAATTTCTCAAAAATGTACTTTTTTGGCTTGCCGCGGGCTATGCTTGCAGTAAATAGCAAATATGGGAACGTAAATGTAAACGAGTTATAGAAAAAGAGAAAAGAGAAGATTTTTAACGGTTTTTTCGATATATTTCGAAAAGTAACAAAGCAATCGAAACTTACAAAAAATCAGTCGATAGATCTTTTTAAAACCTACAACTTTCTCGTTTAAAATTTTTCAGTCGGTGCTATATTTTTTTAGTTAGTTTAGAAAAACCGTTTTTTGCAACTTTGCAATTTTTTTTTAACCATGTTCGCCATTTTGGATCGAGTTTAAAGAACAAAAAACTCAGTTTAAATATTTTTTTTGTCCAGGTAATAATTTCTGTAAGCATTTCTCTATAATGCTTGGACTATTGACAATTACAATGGAGTAAATGATACTTGTAGATATATTTATCAAACACCCTGTATGTAAAATTATAAAAATATACCACACAAAACTCACCGTATCTACTATCCGACAGGAGCGGGGACTGACTATCGCTGCTGCGGTACCTCGCGCTGTGCGCCAAGTCCTTCTTCCTAGGCAGCGTGCAGAAGATCTCGTTAATGTCCGAAACACTACCACTATCACTGGCCGCCCTCGAACTGCGACCGTCGCAGAACCGCCCCGTGGAGAAATTGTCCAAGTATTTGCTCGAGCCCGTACTTCCCGACAGCTTGTTGGTCGGCGAACTCTCCAATAGGTCGGGAAACTGTTTTTCCGCGTCTTCCGACACCCTGGACAGCTCCTTGTTGCAGGTGGTGACGTAGGAGTGTGTGCTGGTGGATGGGCCGTACCGCCTCAACAGGGCGTTGGAGTGGATGGGCGTCGGCGGATTGGCCGGCGGGTGCGGGTACTGCTTATATGTACCACACGTCGAATTGCAGTTCGTCTTGACTTTGTCTCTAGAAAAAAAGAAAATTACTAAATAAAAGACTAAAGTTTCGGCTTGTAGGGAGAGCTAAGTCTGCAGGAGATAGTTTTTATTTAAATCACTGAAATTATAACAAGGCAGCTGCTGTAATAATACAAATTTGGAGAAGATTTTTTAACTGACTTTAATAAGTAACAGCTGTCTGAAAGACTTTTCCGTTGTTAATTAAAGTGTTTTTTTTTGTCGCTTTTAAGACAAATTTCAAAAGACGGGTTTAACTGTGATGTCAATATAATATGGTGGGTATTAATCAAATAAGAAATAGTTTAACTTTTAATAGTCCAGGGAACCAAGGGTTTCCCCTCCTTCTGATAGAACCGATTGACGTGAACTTCGAATGTAAGTAGAAAATAGCTCAAGAAACAAAAGTTATATAGTGTCGATGAGCGGTTTTGCCCAGAGGGTGAAAAATAAAATATTCAAAATAACCCCAGGAATCGATAAAGCAATCAATTTTAAGCGAAAAGTATCGTATGAACATTTTTCGGTAAGTCAATATTTTTGGTGATTGAAAATGTATATTTTTTATTAAAAGAAGACGCTTTTCAGTAGTTTTTCTCGAATAACTCGGAAATAGACATTCTATGAAAAAAAAAACATGCTTGAAATGAAGCTTATAGAAAAAAAAGGATTGAGGTTTTTTCTTATTTATGTAGGTGCAATAGATGCTGAGATACGGCTGGTATTATTATTAATTTCATGTCAGCCAGAAACTAAATTCGAAGCATTTAGAGTTCTTTTAATATCTCATGAGCCGCGAAATGCGCGAAAGGCGTGGCGTATCCCCATAATTCTTCTAATAAGCACGTTGTGAAAACATTGACTCAGAATTAGACCACGTGCCTCATTACAACTAGAAATGAACTAAGGCGCTCGGGCATCAATAAAGTCAACTGGCGAACGTTCGTTATATATATTTTTATTGTTTAAATTAAAATAATAAAGAATAGGGCATTTTATTATGATATTTGTAATCGGATCAAAGGCTTGTTTACGCTAGAGCTCGAGAGAGACTGTGAATAATAGATGTAATGTTTTTAGGACGTAGAATAATTTAGGCGACGGTCGGAATTATGTTTCTGCGCATATGAAGGTCAAAGCTCATAAGATTTTAAAACATCTCTAACGTAAAATAACTAAAATGAACTTGACTTCAAGTCAATAACATAAAAATTAACAAAGTTATGATCAAAATAAAACTGTGAATTCGCTTTTTCGGAAAAAAAAAATAGGACAAAAGCTGATACATTTTTTACAAGATTTAAAATTAAAGGTAGTCCTTTTACAATTTAAATTTTTTATGTGCTAACAATATATTATACAAGTTTAAGCGGTTTAGAATGCATATTTTTGAAAATATTACGTTTTGACTGAAAAAACATTTTTTTTAATTCCAAAAAAATAACATATTTTTGAAAATAACTTTAAAAATAAAAAAGATGCGAAAAATATTCAAGAGTACAAAAGTTTAGATTTTTTTTTCACAGAATATTTTGTGTTTTTTTATTTGTGTAGGATAAAAATGAACAGAGATGTCGCTGCTAGAAGTTTGCAGTTGAGGGCGAAGGTCATGTTTTCAAACCCTCTAACTTCAAAAATCTCAAAAATAACGCGTTAAAAATTTCCAATTTTTTTTAGTAATTTTTGAAACTATGTAACTTCGTGAATAATGATCGTATCGAGAAAAAATAAATAAAGCTTCTTGAAGCATATATTCAATGTAATAAAATTGTAAAAACGAGAAAGAGAAAAAATTTAAAAGTGAAAAATTGGATTTTTTTTTTCAAAATCGATTTTTTTATTCAAAATTTTGTATTTTTTCTCGATTTTTGATTAATGACTAAGATGAAACAAATTTAAATATTCATCAAATATCGAAAACCAAAAAAAAAATCAAAATTTTGAAAAAAAATCATTTTTCAATTTTTTTTAGATTTTGTTTGTCATTTTTTACAATTTTACATTGATTATTTCAAATATCAAGAAAAAAAATTTGAATTTAAAAAAAGTTGAAAAACCAGATTTTTCTTCAAAATTTTGAATATTTTTCTTATTTTTCCATATTTGATGAGTATTTAACGCAAAAAAATTTGTTTCATCAAATTAATTAATGTTTAAGGAGCAATAAATATGCTTTAATTTTTTATAAAACTTTGACGATTCAGGAAAGGAAAACGGTTCGACAGATCTGTTTCAAAATTTACAGGCCTCACGGCCATGTATTGAGCTAAAAAATAACCTACGAACATTGGTACTTTTCGCAATATTTGCAATGTAGTCTTTAATTTTCTAAAACAGCGGAAAAAAACATTTTTTTACACTTTTTCAAATTAATGCCGAGTACAAATTTTTTTTTTCTCAAACATACCAAAAGGCTTTTGAAGAGGATTGATTCGGGTTTCTAAAACCCACCTTCCGTTTGCTGTACGATCATTAGTTCAAGGGATATAGATAATAAAAAAAAAGGTGAAACCGAGTTGAAAAAAAAAAGAATTGCAAAATTTTTGCGTCGCATTATTTCTTTTGATTGCGCCTAGAGTGATGCTCAAAAAATTTTTTCATCTCAAGATTTCAAAACTGTAATCTTCAAGCTTCAAGAAGCTTCTTTTTTTTTATCGATACGACTATTATCCACGAAGTTACAGCAAAATTTGAAAACGTGTCTGCCCCTTTAATTTTTTTTTCGAGTGCAGTTATACGAAAGTCTTACCTAGTTTCCTGCAACGTCCTCCTAGGGATATGCAGATCCTCAGGATCCAACAAGTGTTCTGGCGAATTCCAATTCTTCTCCAAACTCTTCTCGTCCGCGTTACTCCCCTTCTTACTATTGGACCCCGACTCTGCGTTACCCTCCTCCTCTTCCTCCGCCTCCTGGTCGGTGTCGCCGCCCGGCACTACCCTGTACTCCCCGTTCCTGCGGCTCGACACCACGGCGATCTGCTCTGGATTGGCCCCCACCCCGCCGTTGGTATTCACCACCTTGTGGTTCATCTCGATCTTTTCGTAGTTGTCCTCCCTGCGACATTCGCGGGTGCGCCACCTCATCACCTGCTTCTTCCGCACGGAGCACACGCACAGCGATATCAAGCAGGATATCAGAACGAAGGCCACGCCCGTACACACACTCGCCAGTAGCACCTTGTTGGTGAAACCGCTCTCGGGCGGCTTCTTGGACACGGCCAGAGTGACGCTGGCCTCCGCTCTACCCGCCTTATTCTCGGCGGCACACACGTAGGTACCCGCGTCCTGGAGGTCGGCACTGAATATCGTCAGATCACTGGATTTATTACTTAAGTGCACCATGTACAATTTCTTACCACTGGAGTACGGCGAACCCGACAGATTGGCTATCACTTTGTTCTTCAGCAACCACCTCACGTTCGGCTCCGGTATCCCCGCTATCCTGCACGTCATCGTTACGTTCCTGCCTTCGATTCCGTGCGCCCTGCTGTCGTAGGCGAAGATCTCCGGCACGCAAGCGAATTCGTCCAGGTCCAGCTTGTCCCAGGACTTCAGGTGCAGCCTTTTGGGGTACTGACACACCGGGGGTATGTCGAAAGGTACGTTCTGCCTCAGCATCCACTCCCGAAGAGGCCGAAGGGAACAGGAGCAGTTCCAAGGGTTCCCCGCTAGTTCTAGGCCGTGCAAGTTCTGGAGGATGGTGAAGGTGGAAGCCGCCACGTCCGTCAGCTTGTTCTTGTCCAACTTGAGCCACTCCAAGGATTTCTCGAGACCCACGAAGGCTCTTGGTTCGATGGTTAGGATTCTGCACTCGGTGATCTCTAGTCTGATTAGTTGTGGGAGGTTGATAAACGCGTTGTTGAACACCCTTTGGATGGGGTTGCCGTTCATTTTGAGCTCCCTCAGTTCTTGGATTGAATCGAACGAGTGGGAAGGGACGTTGGTTAAAACGTTGTAGCTCAAGTCTAACTCGACTAGATTTATAAGGTTCTTGAAGCAGAATCTTTCAAGCGTTTTCAGTCGGCACTTGGCCAGGTATACTTTCTGTAGGTTCATCAAGCCGGCTCTACTGAATTCCTCGTGCCTGATCACCGCCAGGTTGTTACCTGTTAGGTCTAGAACCTGCGTACCGGCGTCCAAGTGAAGCGGTACGACTGATAGGTTGGCGTTCAGGCATATTACGGATTCCTTCCCACTCTTCCACTTGCATTCGCATAACCTAGGGCACTCGGCTAGACTCATCTGAATGTAAAAACTTAGGAGTACCACGATCTGCAGCTGCAAACTGGACATCGTGGACGCAATGCTTTCCTTTCCCTCATTTGGACGCTTTTTCCTCGTTGTCCTCATCCTCTGTCTCCATTGTAGAATCACAGTTGGTGCTACTGCCTGCGCCGAATCTGAAATCAAACACGCGAATTAATAAAATATGCACGGGTGTAACTTTTATCTGAGGGGAGCATATGTTCACTAACCGAAACATCAGTTTCTATTTTTAAAATAAGTGCGGCCCTAAAAGTTGTTCGTCTGCCGCCGAGCAAATCCTTTACAAATTAAATTTACGGCGTTTCCTTTTAAAAAGTAAATCCTTCAAGGAATCTGAATGTATAAAATAAATTGTGTTCTATTTCGGTAAAGCCCCGGCAATTCCGATGGTTAATTTTAAATGAGGAGAAGGGTTTTGCGAAATGGCGCGGAGCAAGGGTAACTTAAAAATTAATGACTTCCTGAGTGATCCTAAATCACATCAAACTAAATTGGGGCAGGGTAAACAACTGAATATTAAAAAAAAAAAATCGATACGGGACGGCGATCGCTAAAAATAACCGGGATACACCTGTATCTTTACTTATTTTTGACACGAAGCTCTCTATATTATACAGGGTGCCTGCGAAAAGTTAGGAAATTTCGAAGCTGGAGGTACTGGTGGCCAAAATAAGTCGATTGAGCCAAATATGCCTTATATTATGCCTTCAATGTTTGAATTTTATTTTGAAACTCAATAATTTGTATGAATAAAAAAATTTGCACTATTATGTTTTTGACATGACAAATAAGAATTTTTAATTTTGGCGTTGCTTTACAGGGCGTCAGTTATATCCTATCCTTTTGATAAATAGCGGATTTTTTTTTGCTTTTAGAATTACGGACATTGTGTACTGAAAATATGAGAGAACATTCCCTTCGTTTCATAACAAACTTACACTTGTTCGTTTTCGATATCGGGATATTTGCATATACGAATTTTAGACCAGTGCAAGCCTTCAAAAATGGTAAAAAGTGAAATTAGGATGAAACCCATTGGAAAAGGAAGAGAATATAACAGAAATGAAAAGAAAAAAATTTACGGGCGATCTGAGGTCGGGAAGGGGAATGGGGTGAGTTTTTAAGGGTAAAAAACGGTTTATCTTGATTTCCGTCATATGGAAAAAAGTTAAATGGCAAAGTTGTAGGTAATAAAAAGATCTACAACTTTCGTATTTACACTTTTTTCACATAACCTCAAAATTTATGTGAAAAATTCAAATAACCAAGTTTTTGGTTTTTTATTTTTTTTTTTTACAAACAAATTTTTTTTTACGAAATTTGGTGAAAACTTACCTATTTATGTCCCAAACACGCTGTAATTTTTTTGATTTGAAATATTTATTTTTTCACCTTATTTTTACTTAATATCGAAAAAGCACCCTAATTTTCAATCGAAAATTCTCACGTCAAAATATCTGCTTTTTTAAAAACGTCGGTGGGCTTTTTCTTCGTTGAAATCTCTACTTTCTGATGGTGTAAAAAAATATATACATTACTATGGTAAGTTTTCTCAGGAAATGCAAAGAAACGAACTAGAATCCGAAAATTTTTTTCTAATCATTATGTACAATTTTGAGCTATTTATTAAAATTTACACTTTAATTACTCGAAAAACGTAAGATTCCATGTTACATTGATAAACAAAAAAATTACAAGTCGAAATATACTATTATAATTAACAACCAAATAAGTTAATAAAGTTAATATTTAATAAGACATCTACAATATTTTGAGAAAGTTGTAGAATCTTCTTTCGTTTCTTTGCATTTCCTGAGAAAACTTACCATAGTAATGTATATTTTTTTTTACACCATCAGAAAGTAGAGATTTCAACGAAGAAAAAGCCCACCGACGTTTTTAAAAAAGCAGATATTTTGACGTGAGAATTTTCGATTGAAAATTAGGGTGCTTTTTCGATATTAAGTAAAAATAAGGTGAAAAAATAAATATTTCAAATCAAAAAAATTACAGCGTGTTTGGGACATAAATAGGTAAGTTTTCACCAAATTTCGTGAAAAAAAAATTTTTTTTTAAAAGATAAAAATAAAAAACCAAAAACTTGGTTATTTGAATTTTTCACATAAATTTTGAGGTTATGTGAAAAAAGTGTAAATACAAAAGTTGTAGATCTTTTTATTACCTACAACTTTGCCATTTAACTTTTTTCCATAAGACTTGTAGTTTTTCCGGAAATCAAGGGAAACCGTTTTTTACCCTTAAAAACTCACCCCCTTCCCCTTCCCGACCTCAGATCGTCCGTAAATTATTTTTCCTTTCATTTCTGTTATATTCTCTTTCTTTTCCAATGGGTTTCATCCTACTATAATTTTTTTTGGTTTCAAAAATTATCGACCCTGGTCTATTTTATCCAACACTTGTATATAATGATACTATAATTTCTTTGGTTTTAAAGGAATAAAGTGGCCTATAAGTCACTAATAAGTTATGACAAATGTTTGGTTTATTTTTCTAGTTTTTATTAGAAAACCAATTTGAAACAGTAATAAGTCAACAAATAACCTAAAATGCTACAAACCTACTTATTAATAATAACATTAACATTTATGGTAAAGCCGTAATTTGATGCCAAAAGATTATTAGAATCATTTTGTGATTGTGGTAAATTTATAGAACAGATTGCCCCTTTGCTTGTGCTTGCTTCAAGAGTCTACACCCCTTCTATCTTTTTAGCAATATCAATTTTGCTGGAAATTAGCTCTAGCCGCGTTAGCTTTTTCTAAAATTTCAGATGTTTCCACATTTTCCATTTTTTCAGTCTTGGTTTTAGGATATCAACGCGATTCCAACTCAAAAAATATTGTTTGTTTACTGTCAACCCTTGGTTACAGACACAATTTAGGTTGACACTCGCATTCTTTGTAATATTTAAAAATACATTCATTTCGTTAAATTACTTTTTGTGACTTGAAATGTTAAGTTACTAGTATTTATTATTAAAACGAAATTCTATGAAAGTGTTGTATAAAATTTTGTATGGCACTCGTGTGGTATTCCAATGATTTGACTAATTTTTAGCAAAATCGCATAAGCCGTTCTAAATTTATAAAAAAGAAAACAAATAATGAGGGCTCCTAAACGGAGCAACTTTGAACTAAGGTAAGTTAAGTATCTAAATGAGACTTATTTTGATATGGTGGGGCGTTGTAAAGCCCTTTTAGGTACACCCAGTAGAAGCTTAAAAAAACTATTTGGGCTACAGCGAATTTAGCCGTAAAATAGGAATAAAATCCGACGTACCTCCCGTAGAAATTCCAATAATACTCCCAACTTGGAAAAGTTTGGCCTGGAATAAAGGGTCGATTAAGTTTAGGTGAAATATAAACACATCAGAAAGGTTCGCCGAAACCCTAAAAGAAGGAATGTAATCTTTTAAATAGTCATTCTTTACTGAAAAAGGGAGGGCGAGCTCAACCGTTCCGAGTCTCCGGGGACGCTTATTCTTCAGTCTGCCTCTAAGTAGCCAAACATACAGGGATATTATTAGGTTTTTGTGTCCCGCATTTCATCATAATATAGAAAAAACCTGGCAGCAGGAGGTAAACGCGTAGTTTTCAAAGATTTTATGATTGTATGAACAACAAAATATATTTTCTTGGAAACTTATCGATTTAAAAGAATAATCACGTAGTTGGTATTGAATGTAACTTTCCTTGATTGTGCATTAAAATACCGGCAAGCCGTAAGCGGTAGAAATTTTTATTTTTAGAAATTTTGATATAAATAGGCAGCTGTTAAAATTAACACTCCATCTTGGAACAGGCATAAGCATATGCTTATGTCGCAGACAGCTCGAGAAAGTCCCGCAGATTTCCTCTAATATTCCCCCCACCCCCACCCCCCCATATATCAAACGCAGCGCTCCCGATCCGCCGTCCCCCGCAATTGGATCAGTCAAATAAATCGCACTTAAGCGAAATAAACAAATCAGCCGGGAGCGTATAAATAACTGCAATAAGGCAGAGGAGTCCTACTGCAAATACGGCGTAATGTCCTATAGGAAATCGGGACACGATATAGGCGGGACCAATTGCAAATATTCCTTGGGCCCTGTTAGCAAGATTCATGGATTCGGGATAGGATCGGCGCATCGGATCTATTAAGGGAATAAGGCCCCACTTACCGGCCGTATCCGTTTCGGTATAGCTCAAAAATAAAAAAAAAACAACCCGGTGAAGTGTACTGCATGTTGCGAATTAGTTCACTGCCTTTCTCTCTCAATTACCCCTGATGGATGTGCTTGAATAGCAATTGGAGTTTTATGGTCCCGCTTCGGTAAAGTGGATTCTTTCAATACCTGAATAGTTCCGACCGAATCGAGACGCAAGCTGATTTTAAATCTCTCTCTAATGATGCAGCAAAATGCTCAATATTATATCAAATAACCCCAGTGATCATTAACGGCGATTGTTCTTTCCGAACCCATCTATTTTGTTACAGAAATAATTGCGTAAAAAAATTGTACCTAGATATTCTATAATTAGTTCTCGTATTTCTTACTCAATTTTAAGCTAATTCAAACAAATTTAAAAAAATCTTATCAAATAACGTCAACAATGTTCTTCGATACCAGAAACCTAGGCACCACAGTCAAGACTCTTACCTAACTGCTGATATTGCTGAATTATACCCCTAATAAAGTAAAAAGCTAAAAATCTAATTTTTTGCTCTTTTTTAAATTGTTTATTAACGATTTTTCAATTCTCTACAAAATTTTTCCTATGAACTGTACCGAAATTTTGCTTCGTTTTCGTGTTATATTTAAAAAACTGCAAAACTGCATTTTCACCCCTATCTTGAACGTCTTATTTCCTCCCTTTTTTGCAAAAAATGAGAATTAAAACGTATAAGAGTAAACGCGACGAAAATAAAAAAATTGGCTAATTGTAAGTTTGAGCGGCCATATATCAGTCAATTTTTGTCCAAAAATATTTTACAACCTCTTATTTTGTAGGAAATTTTATCTT